CAAAAGCTGCAGGAAGGGACTTTATTCCCAGTCCAGAAAATAACTGTTGGGGACGTTGAAATGCCTTTATGTATCTTTGGGGACCCAGCCTACCCCTTAATGCCATGGCTAATGAAGCGGTACACAGGCAGCCTGGACAGTAGTCAGGAGCTGTTCAACTACAGGCTGAGCAAGTGCAGAATGGTGGTAGAATGTGCATTTGGACGTTTAAAGGCACGCTGGTGCAGTTTACTGACTCGCTTAGACCTCAGCAAAACCAATATTCCCACTGTTATTACTGCTTGCTGTGCGCTCCACGATATCTGTGAGAGTAAGGGGGAGATGTTTATGGCGGGTTGGGAGGTTGAGGCAAATCGCCTGGCTGCTGGTTACGCACAGCCAGACAATAGGGCAGTTAGAAGAGCACAGGTGCGCATCAGAGAAGCTTTGAAAACCAGTTTCATGACTGGACAGGCTACAGTGTGAAAGTTCTGTTTGTTTCTCCTTGATGAACCCCCCCGCCCTTGGTTCACTCTACTTCCCTGTAAGCTAACCACCCTCTCCTCCTCCCTTCGATCACTGCTTGCAGAGGCAATAAAGTCATTGTTGCTTCACATTCATGCATTCTTTATTAATTCATCACACAAATAGGGAGGTAACTACCAAGGTAGCCCAGGAGGGGTGGTGGAGGAGAGAAGCACCGGGAGGGGTGGTGGAGGAGGGAAGGACAAGGCCACACAGCACTTTAAAAGTTTAAAATTTTAAAACTTATTGAATGCCAGCCTTCTGTTGCTTGGGCAATCCTCTGGGGTGGAGTGGCTGGAGGCCCCCCCCTCATGTTCTTGGGCGTCTGGGAGAGGAGGCTATGGAACTTGGGGAGGAAGGCAGTTGGTTACATAGGGGCTGTAGCGGTGGTCTGTGCTCCTGCTGCCTTTCCTGCAGCTCAACCATACGCTGGAGCATATTAGTTTGATCCTCCAGCAGCCTCAGCATTGAATTCTGCCTCCTCTCATCACGCTGCCGCCACCTTTCAGCTTCAGCCCTCTCTTCAGCCCGCCACTTACTCTCTTCAGCCCACCACCTCTCCTCCTGGTCATTTAGTGCTTTCCTGCACTCTGAAATTGTCTGCCTCCATGCATTCGTCTGTGCTCTGTCAGTGTGGGAGCACAGCATGAGCTCAGAGAAAATTTCATCGCAAGTGCGTTTTTTTCGCCTTCTAATCTTCGCTAGCCTCTGAGAAGGAGAAGATCCTGTGATCCTTGAAACACATGCAGCTGGTGGAGAAAAAAAGGGACAGTGGTATTTAAAAAGACACATTTTACAGAACAATGGGTACACTCTTTCACGGTAAACCTTGCTGTTAACATTACATACATAGCACATGTGCTTTCGTTACAAGGTCGCATTTTGCCTCCCCCCAGCACGTGGCTAGGCCCTCCCCCCTCCCCGTGGCTAACAGTGGGGAACATTTCTGTTCAGCCACAGGCAAGCAGCTCAGCAGGAATGGGCACCTCTGAATGTCCCCTTAAAAAAAGCACCCTATTTCAACCAGGTGACCATGAATGATATCACTCTCCTGAGGATAACACAGAGAGATAAAGAACAGATGTTGTTTGAATGCCAGCAAACATACACTGCAATGCTTTGTTCTACAATGATTCCCGAGTACGTGCTACTGGCCTGGGGTGGTAAAGTGTCCTACCATGGTGGATGGAATAAGGCTACCCTCCCGAGAAACCTTTTGCAAAGGCTTTGGAAGTACATCCAGGAGAGCCATGAATGCCAGGGCAAATTAATCATTAAACATGCTTGCTTTTAAACCATGTATAGTATTTTAAAAGGTACACTCACCAGAGGTCCCTTCTCCGCCTGCCGGGTCCAGGAGGCAGTCTTGGGTGGGTTCGGGGGGTACTGGCTCCAGGTCCAGGGTGAGAAACAGTTCCTGGCTGTCGGGAAAACCGGTTTCTCCACTTGCTTGCTGTGAGCTATCTACAACCTCATCATCATCATCATCTTCCTTGTCCCCAAAACCTGCTTCCATGTTGCCTCCATCTCCATTGAAGGAGTCAAACAACACGGCTGGAGTAGTGGTGGCTGAACCTCCTAAAATGGCATGCAGCTCATCATAGAAGCGGCATGTTTTGGGCTCTGACCCGGAGCGGCCGTTCGCCTCTCTGGTTTTCTGGTAGGCTTGCCTCAGCTCCTTAAGTTTCACGAAGCACTGCTTCGGGTCCCTGTTATGGCCTCTGTCCTTCATGCCCTGGGAGATTTTGACAAAGGTTTTGGCATTTCGAAAACTGGAACATAGTTCTGATAGCACGGATTCCTCTCTCCATACAGCGATCAGATTCCGTACCTCCCGTTCGGTCCATGCTGGAGCTCTTTTGCGATTCTGGGACTCCATCATGGTCACCTCTGCTGATGAGCTCTGCATGGTCACTTGCAGCTTGCCATGCTGGCCAAACAGGAAATTGAAATTCAAAAGTTCGCGGGCCTTTTCCTGTCTACCTGGCCAGTGCATCTGAGTTGAGAATGCTGTGCAGGGCAGTCACAATGGAGCACTCTGGGATAGCTCACGGAGGCCAATACAGTCTAATTGTGTGCACAGTACCCCAAATTCGACCCAGCAAGGCCGATTTCAGCACTAATCCCCCTGTCGGGGGTGGAGTAAGGAAATCGATTTTAAGAGCCCTTTAAGTAGAAAAAAAGGGCTTCGTCATGTGGACGGATGCAAGGTTAAATCAATTTAACGCTGCTAAATTCGACCTCAACTCCTACTGTAGACCAGGGCTAAGCACCTCTAGGCCTAGCTGTCTTCTTAAAAGATCAGTTCCATTCTCTTTCTCCACTATTCTTTCCATAAGCACCGACTCCATGGGTGCTCTGGGGCTGCAGCACCCATGGAAAAAAAACTGTAGGTGCTCAGCACCCACCGGCAGCCCCGTGGATCAGCTCCTCCCCTTCCGCCCTCCCATTGGCAGGCCCCACTGCTCAGTTCCTCTCCCTCCCCCCCAGCACCTCCCGCCTGCCTGTGATCATCTGTTCAGTGGCATGCAGGAGGCACTGGCGGGGGGGAGGGAGAGGAGCGGAGGCAGGAAGAGGCGGGGCTGGGGTCCAACACCTCTGGAGAAATCACAAAGTTGGCACCTCTGATTTTTTCCTCCAACAAACTCTCTCCCCTGTCACCAAGTTTCTTGTGTCTTCTCCTGCACCCCCTCTAGCATCCTTGCCTGACCTCCTTTGACTCATAGATTATAAAGCCAGAACAGACCATTGTGATCATCTGGTCTGATCTTCTATATAACACAGGCCATAGGACTTCCCTGCATTAATTCCTGTTTGAATTAGAGCATCTGTTTTAGAAAAATATCCAATCTTAATTTAAAAAAAAATACAATAATGGAGAATCCACCACAAACCTTGGTAAATTGTTCCAATGGTTAATCCCCTCATTGTTAAAAATGTGCACCCTATTTCTGGTCAAAATTTATCTACTTCAACTTCCAGCCATTGGATTTTTTTTTAATACCTTTGTCCGCTAGATTGAAGAGCCTTATCAAATTTCTGTTCTCCATATAAATACTTATAGACTGATCAAATCAATCCTTAACCTCCTGGCCTCACTCTCATGTCTCCACTGCTCTCAACCTTCTCTCTCTCTTCCTTGTCTGCCCCCCATTCTCAAAAAGCTGTCCCTTTACCCCAACTCATTTAAGTACCATCCCAGCACCCTTCTTTCCTTTGTTTCCAAACAGTAGGAGCAGAAGCAGCCAAAGAAGGATTGTTGCACTGGGATGGGAGAGGACAAAATGGGGCTCTGGCCAGGCCGGCCCACCCACCCACAGAATCTCCCTGGATTCAGGACTGTGCAGGGACTATGACCCAAGTGATGCCTCCCCTTTTTCCTTCCCCTACGCTCCTCCTCAGCATATGGCCTTGGAGAAAAATAGCACAGAGCAGCTGGCCAACCAATAATGGTAGTAGTGGAAGCAGCCAAACCAGGGATCTTTCAGTGTTCAGAGAACTTCCTACAGTTTTGACTGCACTCTCTCTCTGCCCTGTGCAGATTGGCTGTTTGCTCCAACCCTCTGCCTCCCTCCATCTCTTTACCTCATCCTTATTCCTCTTCACCTGCCCCTTTTACCTCTTTCTCCCCTGACCTGTCCTCCTCACCCTCTTGCCTTCCCTTTCCATTTAGCTTATCCCCTCCTAAGTAAACCCCCTAACCCCCTCCCCGCAAATATTGGGAACTAACACAATGTTTGTTGCCATCACATGGTTCACCCTCCTTGTGTATTGAGACTGTAAACTCTTCAGGCAAGAGACTATCTACTAGTACAGTGCCTAGCACAATTATTGATTGGCTCTTAGGCACTGTGCTAATAAACATGATTGATAATTAATTAATTATTTCTTTTCTTGATTGCCACCTCTTCCTTTCTGGCCTCTTTGAATCCATATGGTTACTATTGGAAATACATATTTCTTCCTTCTACCCAAAATTCATTTGAAGCACAGCTGCTCAGATCATTTTCTTGGCCATTGACCTGACCCACTTGGAATCCACCATATTTGAAATCTTTTGATCTTATTTCCAGTCGTTAGGGTTATTCGGCTGAAGGGACAAGAAGGAGACATGTCTGGTAGGCTCCTCTGCTCTTTTATAATACAGATGTGGATGTTTCATGACAAACATGTCTACTTTCAGAAATGCTGAGAGCTAAATGAATCAAGTCAACATTTTTGTGTAACTAAGCAAAAATCGGAAGCCTAAAGAACTTCTGGGCATAACTCCTCTTTCCATAAATGAAGCGAAGGGAAAACAGCAAAAAAGATGACTAGCGGAGAACCTAAGGTAATATTAAGGTTTGCTTTGTAAAAGCTATTAAGGCCAACAACAGATTTTTAAAAATTCCACACCGTGTTTAGACTTAGGAGGAGGAGAAAACCTCAGAAAAGTCTTTAGAATCTGGGGAAGAGAAGCAACAATTTTACACTGCATTTTTATGTCATTAAAATACCTGTTCATGTGACCACGTCCGTTCTGAGCCATCCTTCACACAAACATCTAGCCTCAGCTCTGCCCCTGTGGCCCCATGTTTACTGTCCACACAGAGATTGGCTGCCACATTTCGAATCTGCAAAACCAAGCAGCAACATTTCACATTATACAGCAGGCTGCAGAATAGGACTTGTGAGGATGAGGATGTTGAGATTTGACTCTGTCTTGGTTCAGTCAGAAACTAGAGATATGGCTATAAGCACATTGCTTATGTATCATCAATGGGGCTTTGTATGTGGCAGAGAGGCTGAAGAGACTGTATCCGGGAAGTGATCTATTCCTTCCTCTGCTCCAGTATTTGAAAAATTCTGTAAAGAAATTGAGATTACGTTTTTTATTAGAATAGTTTGGGGTATAAGGACTGGAATGAAAAAGAAATCTTGGGAGGATAAAGTTTAGTTTGTTCCTCTCCTGCCAACAAAGCAAGCAAGATCAAGTTCATTCAGAGGAATCTCCTGTTTGAACCTCTATCAGAATTCAGGGTGATAGTTTTCTAAAGCTCAGACACACACAGTTCCAGTGCTTGTGGGTGTGTGTGTTGGGGGAGTGCTATCTCTTTAAGCAGAGCACTCAGGCAGCAGCTGCTGTCAGCAGCACTCACTTCTGAGCCAGCAGCAGACTGGATCCCTCTGTTCCTTGACCCCCTGCTCAGCGGTGACCGCATACATGGGTGGCAGAAAAGGGACATCCCAACATCAGCCCACCTCCCCAACCCCCACTCTGCGCAGCAGACAGGAGGCAGGCTCCTGGTCCTAAGCAGCTTGGCCAGGTGTGGCTCCATGGGAGGGAGGTAGGAGCAGCAGTGGAGCAAAGCATCAGGAGGAGGGGCATTCCTGCCCCAGAGGCATGCAACGGTGCAGGGCACCTGGGTGATGGCTCCCTTTGCCACCCCTCGGACCGGCCCTGTCCAGCGGGGAGGGGATGGTGCAGACAAAGGGGTGCCTCCCTCCCCACCCAGCTTCTGCTGAGCCCCATCTCCAGAGGTGTGTGATTAATGCTCACTAAAAAAAAACGCATTAATTTGTTTTGAGTTAATCACATGTGTTAACTGAGATTGACAGCCCTAACATATATATATATAATAAATATATAATTCTCACAGCAAAATGACTGACTAAGTATTATTATTTTATCAACTACAGCTGGTTAACAACATTGTAAAAGCATCCTGATTGGTTAATAATTAAATCATACAGTGTTTTAATATCATGTGCTGCAAAGAGTTTCAAGAGAGACATTAAAGAGTCACTTGTGGCTCCTGAGCCTCAGCCTGAGTATCACTAAACTAGACACTTAATTCCTCTGTTTCTCCCTCTGTAACATGGGGATGATAGTAACTATCTAGCTACCTTCAAATAGTGTTCTGAGGGTTAATTAGTTATTGTTTGTACAGTGCTATATACAATTACTATTTTAGTTTCTAAGATGTCTTCAAGGGAAATAGTTGTCTAGTGTTACTGTAATGTGTGACCATATAGGGAATCTGAATTTAGGTTCTGAACACAATTGATGACTCCCCAGGCAGGCAGGAGCTAAGCAGCACATTAAGCTCTCTAAGAGGATGGAGGAAATCTCTCTCTCTCAATTCCTGCAGGCAGCTCCAGGAGTAGCATTGATAGACTCTAAAGGGAGTCATATCTAACATGGAAGGATGATTCAGACCTAGACAAATAATTTGAAGGGAATAAAGAAGAAAATGGGCAGAACTCATCCCTTTAGCCCTTCTGTGATTTAAATTAGCAGAACACCTTTGAAAAGAATTTAGAGAGAATAAGATGATGCTGGAGAATCTTGATTTCTACAGGTCCCTTCTCCTCCACAAGAAGGAAGGTATTAAGGCAGATAGAATTTATGGCACCCCAGCTGGGATCAGGAGTTCTTAACAGAATGCTAGTCATTAGTCAGTCAGTCAGAATCCTGGTAACTGATATGTCTGGCTTCGTCTGGTAGTAGGTAGCAATTGTGGAGAAAGGGAAATTATTCTGCAGCGTATGGGAAAGGGTAGCTTAAATAATCACACAGAAATAACCACTGTAAAAGGAGTTTACAAAAACAAATAACTTCCACTTATGAAAAATGCTGCTAAAGCTAAGTGCATGGGAGACGGAGTGCATGTCAAATTTCCTTGAAATTACAATACAGAGCCTGTTTTTCAAAGATGCTGAGCACTCATCTCTCCCATTAAAGACGAAATGTGTGTGCTGATATGTTCAGATATATATATCCATCTTCAAAAACCAACTGTGAGATTCTTGCAAACTTAGAAATGAAAACAACTTTTCCACTTTTGCAGAGAATTGTGTGCACACTATTGCCTGGGCAAAATGACCTGACTTGCAACTTTGATTATTTAGCTCAAAGAATCTCAGCGCTCAATCCCTCACACAGACTGTGTAAGACTGAGCTGAAGGCTTATTAATTGAAAAAGGGTTCTGCAGTTGAAGTAGTCAACCAGGTTGTCAAAACTCTGCCTTCATTTCACATGTTCTAGAAAAACACAAACTAGCAAGATCAGGGAAACATTTTAATTTCAAATTTTCAAGGTTTTAAAACTGAAGTTAAAGATCAATTTCAAATACAGTTTTGACTGTTACCTCACCAGGACCTCATTCAGACACCTCTAATGTGATTAATTTCACTTAGTTCAAATAAAGAGTATCTGTCCTACTGGAAAACTCTTAGCTGTTTTCTTAATATTTTGCTCTTCATGTTATATACTCAAAGCATAGTCACCAACTAAAACAGAGAGGCTATGAAACTAGTGTTAACAGTAAAATAAATACTATTTCAATGTTTCACTTTTAAAGCCTTATGGTATTAGTAGGGCTTTCATATTTTTGTCTGGTGAGGGAATTTTCTTATCCTGTTCTACATTTAAGGGATAGATTCAATCTATCATATACTGTTCTGGAGAGAGTTTTCATTTTTAAAGGTTTCAGAGTAACAGCCATGTTAGTCTGTATTCGCAAAAAGAAAAGGAGTACTTGTGGCACCTTAGAGACTACCCAATTTATTTGAGCATGAGCTTTCGTGAGCTACAGCTCACTTCATCGGATGTAGCTCACGAAAGCTCATGCTCAAATAAATTGGTTAGTCTCTAAGGTGCCACAAGTACTCCTTTTCTTCATTTTTAAAGTTTCCTTTAGCTCACTTCCTATCTGCCCAGTTCTCTCTGTTTCCCCTCTCCTCTTTCTACTAATGAAATACTCTTCAGCATTTGTTTCTCTGTTCTCTGCATTGTTGTATGTGTCTGTCCCAGTGCCATATCTCATCCTTTCTTTGCCTCAATCTACTCTTCCAGTCAGAGAGCATTGTTTTATTTGGGGTGGAGAGAAGGGTTTGATGATAAAAGCATTTAAATCGGGCTCATACTCCTGCTTTGTGGTACTTCTATGCGGCCTTTGCCATTGTTAGAAACTGAATGGAGCCGTTCAAACTGCTGTCAGAACGACAGGGAATATTCTACAGAGAATCAGCACCATGCTGCTTGCAAATCCTACAATATTCTTTTGTATAACAGGGCAAGGAAAGCAGGAAGTCTCAGACAGTGTGTGGCTTGTTGTTGTTTTTTCTTGATTAAGGAAGCGTGCATCTGAGACCCCCATTTCCAATAACAGGCTAATATGCATTTCTAAGTTATTGGACTTTGAGTTAAAACTACTGAAAAAGGCAAGTCTAAATTTTCAAAAAGTTTTCCTCATTTGTACATATGCAATTATTGAGCAGCCTTCTAACACACAGGGGCAGATTCTAATAGTCATATGTACAAAAGATAGAATGGTTACATGCAAAGCGCATTTGTTCACTCCCAGTTTCTGTTACCTGTACACACGCAGCTGAGTATGCTTAAAAAAAAAAAAAAAAAAGCACTCAAGGGTTTTTTATAAATATCTCTACCCAAGAGATTTGGTGGAAAGTGTAATTGTAATTCCTCCCACTGATAAAAGAAATAGGGAAATACTTTAATTAAACATTCAAAACTCTAGATTGTAAAATTGAATATTCTAATATTTGATAAATAACCCAATACTAGTTCGTAGTTGAGTTGGCAGTTCTGGGCAAAAATGCAGACAGAAAAGTGAATGCCTGATTGAGGCCCCTTTAGAAATCTGGCCCTTAAAATCCTCCATGGTAGAATTTGATGTAGTGGGAAACAATGTTGTCATTCAGAAAACATTGCAAACTTTGTATTTATGCCTTAATGTGCATCAAGATTCTGAACACCATCACACTGCACGCTGAGACACAAACACGAGTGAAGAGTGCAGGAGGGCTTAAATAGAGTCATGCAGCAATATCCCACAAAGGGTCCCAATCGTAGAGGAATGAAGGGGAGGATACTAGGAGTCAGGGGACTGGCAGGCCCTGGCTCTCCCTGCTTTCCTTGCTGCTCCTGCACTTGGGAAAAAGAAGGTATTGACGGAGAGGAACTTTTGCGACTGTTGGCTCCAGCTCCTTGTGCTTAAAGGGTATATCTACAAAGCAATAAAAGACCTGCAGCATGGCTGTGGCTGGCCCGGGTCAGCTGACTCAGGCTCACAGGGCTTTGGCGGTGGGACTAAAAACTGCAGTGTAGACATTTGAGCTGGAGCTTGGGCTCTGAGACCCCATGGGGAAGGAGGGAGAGAGTCACAAAGCTTGAGCTCCAGCCCAAGCCCAAATATCTACACTCCAATTTTAGCCCTTGAAGCCAGAGTCAATTGACCTGAGCCCTGAGACTCGGTGCGGCAGGTTTTTCATTGCAATATGGACATACTCTAATGTCCAGGCCATGAAGATCAGGCACTGGCTACTCACGGGCCTGGTGAGGGTCAGGTTTTCCTTGACTGGATAACATGTTAAAGCTACAACTTGCCTTGTCTATACTAGGATTTTAACAATTGTTAGCTAACACATGTTAACAAGATACCTCTTTCATAGTGTAGACAATACCTAGGAAGAATTTTGCTGAGACGGAAGGGTCTTGGCACACTGGATTGTGAGGTCATTCAGTACATAGATAGAGCGAATCATGGGAGGAGGGACATGCCATGAAGCAGAATCTGACACATAGGCCAAAGTGGGATTGTGGAAGAA